CTCTCCTCTCCCCTTCCCTCCTCCCTCTCTCATGCACACGCTCTTTATTTCCTCACTCTGTAGTCTAGGCCAGCCTTGAACTCACTATATAGCTCAAGCTTGCCTGGAACTTGAGATCTTCTTGCCTCAGCCTCCTGGGTGCTGAGATTATAGGCATTCATCACCACACCAAGCTCTTTGGCTCATTTTCCTTCTTTATGTCCTTCCCCCAAAGGAGTTTCTGTCTCAGTGGTGGATTCTGACAGTTACTTGATGTTTTCTTTCCAGGATGTTTCATGGTTAATAGAATGAAAGCATAGTATTTAAATGAGGCACATTCTTTCTTGGTCCCTAAGGTTTGTTATTGCTTACTGTAAATGTAAAACTTCGATTGAATATACTTTTTAATATATTATGTAATATTTCAAATAGTAGAAAGTACAGAGAATAACATTATCAAACATTTTACTCATGGGTTCACCGCTTAGTTCTATGAAATCTTAACATTGTGCCTTAATTGCAACAGATTTTTTTTTTTGTGCTTGTATGTTTTAAATAGAGTCTCACTCTGTAATTCAGGCTGAATTTAAACTCAGTATATAGCCCAAGCTGGCCTTGAACTCATAGCAATACTCCTGCCTCAGCCTCCCAAGTGCTGGGATTACGGGTGTGCACCACCACAACTGGCCTGCATCAGGCATTTTTTTTTTAGAAATGAAATAGTATCAATAGAGCTAAAAGCCACTCCCCCAGAAAAGCCCTCTGTGTACTCTATAATCTTAATCCTCCTCGCCTTAGAAGTTACTGATATCTTGAATTTAGTGTTTTTAATACCTAGGTATGTTTTTTTTTGGCGGAATCTTTTCTTTGTGTGTGTTTGTGGTAACAGGGATCAAACTCAGAACCTTGCACTTGCAAGGCAGGTGTGATGCCACTGAATTAAATCCCTGGCCCCTACATATGTTTTTGTATTATTAGTGCATATGTAGATATAAAAATGATATATAATATTCAGTTGCATGTTATAAATTTTTTATATATGTGTTATGTATTTCCTACCCATTTGCTTTTTTTTTCTGCAC